TTTGCTGAACTCAACATTTCCAGTCGTCTATATCGGCTTCAGTATGGTGTTTAAAGCGTTATAACAGACAGAAAAAGTTCCACCGCTCAAATGGAAAACTTTCATCTAAATTCCAAATGGGATTACTTATTAACGGAAGTAGTAGATATGACGTTTAACCTCAAATTTTTTGCAGGAGTAAAGGGCATTTGGCATAAAAAGCAACGAATTTGGTATCACCAAAAAAAGTTTCAATAAAATCAGTGACCCTTGTAACTAACTACCCAGGATGTAATTGACAGGCTGTGAAACTTGTCCTTTCGACGGGATTTCAGATTTGATCAGCTTCCGTTGACCCTTGAGCGTGACAGCGGCTGTAAATAGGAGCAATGGAAATCTTCACCCCGTGACAATTATTCCAATTTTGTTGATCGTTTGTTTCGCCAAGCATTTGATCGGTGATCATTAATCCAATCCGTAGTGTAGAGGCTCGCTCCATTTGCCCCGTAACGATACGCTGATTTTTTTTTCACGGTAAGACCGTTTTTGGTGGGGGTGGCCGAATAAAAGGTGACACCTCGGGGGCGGTGGTGCCACTACTGTTTAGCATGGCTTTTGTGATTGTTTTGTCCCTTCTGCCGGGTGTTTTTGGAATAAATGCAATGAGTAACGTTACGGATTCGACATCTGTTATCAGAAAAGTAAGCATCTTACAATAATTAATATCATCATTAACAGCACTTTAATCCTTATGACATTACACTTGCATCTGCACATTTTGAAATTAAACTTTATAAAAAAGAAAAATAACTAGGATCTACAGGTCAGTAAAGCTGCTGAATAATAAACATCCGGCCAGATTTCCAAATGAATTGTAAATTTTACAACCTTGTCATCAGTACTTAGTAAAGTAGGAAATCTTCAGGGCTCAAAGTGTCTGTTTTCCGTGTAGATGTGTCATTCTTGCCTGTCGTGTTGAGGGAGCCAAACAATCACTTTGAGCCCTGAAGATGATCTCAATAAAGATCGAAACGTTGGCACGATAAAGAAAATGTTTTTCTAAAACATACGTCACACCAGACCCCATTTCACGATCTCCAAATAATCATACCTACCATACATTATATGCAACCGACATGTTAAGGGCATGAAATTCTAGAGATTTTAGGAAATCAAAATATAAACTTTGAAAGGATGAAAAAAATTAGAAAAGCAGTAGATCTCAATAAAAGATCGAAACGTTGGCACGATAAAGAAAATGTTTTTCTGAAACCTACACACCCGACCGCATCTCACGATATCTGAATAACTATCGATTAACGAACACTAATCTCTACACATATATTTTTACAAGTGTTTCGAAAGTAACAAGTTTGATAGAAAAGTAAGTTCCATATTTTTAATATCAAAGACACTTGTATCGTTACGGTCGCATCCTGGCAAGTGACATTTTGAAGTTTTGAGACCTTAAATTTAGAACTACAGAGCCGTAAAGCTGCTGAATCATAAATACATATACATTAGACAGAATTAGATAGAAACTAAAGAATTGTTGCATAGTAATTAGTCAAATGTACTCTATTATTTTCTGGGTAGGTTTGGGAGGATTTTGTGGGTTGTAAAATCGCGGCCCGGAGTTATACTTTCGGAAAGACGGAAATTCTGAAACATTACGTCTGAGAAGGGGATTGAAGGTGCAGTGACAATCATTTCCCGATGGGGAGTAAAAAGTGTGGAAATGTGGTCGGAAAGGAGAATCTTTCCTGCTTTTGATCTGGCCCAGGTACCATTGAGCATCTAATTGGAAAAGGTACTTGGTAGTATTTAGTATCCGTCTTAGTAGCTTGCCAGAGGGAGTTGAATAAGGATTTGAAGTTGTATTGAACCTGAGGTGAACCGTGTTTGAATAATTCGGATTTCAAGCATAAGATAACAAGTGTTCAAACGTGTTGAAAATTTTTAAACATCAACAGTCTAATAATAAAATTCATATAAAATACATACAAAATAGAACAATTAATTCCCATCTTAAACTTTTCAACACGAGTTAGTCTACGGCAAACTAAGCCAGATTGAAAAAATTTAAGTAATATCAAATGTTAGTACATCCAATTATACATGTTTGACGATTGATTCCATGTTTTATGATTAATTGGACAAGTCCGAGCATTAATCCTTTCAATAATAATTATTGATTAATGAAACAATTGATAACTTTTGTAAGTTGAAAAGGCAGGAATTTCTTAACTTATATTGATAAATTATTGTCTCTTCTTGGAAAAAAATTGTCTACTTCAGTATTTTTTTTATTGAGGTTTCTGGACTTAGTATCAATTATTGAACGTCCGTTATTGATTATTTATCCCTTTCAACAGTAATAAATGATTAATGAATCATTTATTGATAACTTATGTAGTAAGTTTGTAAGCTGAAAAGGCAGGAATTTCTTAACTTATATTGATAAATTATCGTATTTTCTTGGATGATGCATTGCCAAAATTGTTTTTATTTTTATCGACGAGGTTTCTGAACTTACTATCAATTATTGAACTTCCATTATGGATTATTTATCCCTTTCAATAATAATTACTGTTTAATGAATCAATTGTTGATAACTTACGTAGTAAGTTTTGTAAGCTGAAAAGGCAGGAATTTCTTAACTTATGTTGATAAATTATTGTCTCTTCTTGGAAAAAAAATTGTCTACTTCAGTATTGTTTTTATTGAGGTTTCTGGACTTAGTATCAATTATTGAACTTCCATTATGGATTATTTATCCCTTTCAATAATAATTACTGATTAATGAATCAATTGTTGATAACTTACGTAGTAAGTTTTGTAAGCTGAAAAGGCAGGAATTTCTTAACTTATATTGATAAATTATTGCATTTTCTTGGACTTCTTCTTATCGACGAGGTTTCTGGACTTATTATCAATTATTTAATGAATCATTTATTGATAAATTATGTAGTAAGTTTTGTAAGCTGAAAAGGCAGGAATTTCTTAACTTATGTTGATAAATTATTGCATTTTCTTGGACTTTCTTCTTATCGACGAGGTTTCTGGACTTATTATCAATTATTGAACGTCCATTAGGGATTACTTATCCTCCAATTTAAATTCTTCGTGCAGAAAACTCCAAACGGTTCTCTTTCTGCTAAGAGACTCTGCTAAAGAGTGTTATTCGATCCATACAATTTGCGGTTATCTCGTCTGAGAATGCTTGACTTGTACTGTGAGATCATCAATCCATCTTTAGGTGAATTGTGTCTGCCATTTTTTCAAAGTCCTGTATTCTTACTCTTTTACTGACAAATAAATAAGAAGGAATATTGTTTATGTTTTAAAAGAGTTTATTAAATTCATTCAGTGTAAACCACCAACATGCGTCACATTTGAAAAGTATTGAATCCTCAAATTTTTATAACCAGTTAATTATCCGCTTCATTTGCAATTTAGTACAAAGTTCAAGCCACAGGTACAGAGGTTTTGTTAACCTCACATGAGTTTTACTGAGCCTTGGAACAAAATGCAAACACAGGAGGAAAGCGTCTCAGAAGATTTCACCGACAGAAACAGAGTGGAATCTGAACACAAAGACGAAACAACATAACTATTTGAACAGAACCTTGAAAAACTTGGCAAACACGTGAGAAAAAGGCAAGATGGAAGGATATGCTGTCGGTCGGGTGGTCGGAGAATAGTACGCAAAACTTTGAACAACTCACAGGCCATAATTTAACCATCGCTCCCACTTAATTCGATAAAGTTATGATCATTTGTGTTACATCGCTTTTTACCATAGAATCAAGTCATAAGCCGTATGTTTCTCGACAAAATACAAACCTATTACCTTTTCATGATATTTATATGGGAACTTAACAGAATTAGAAAGGCCGTGACTTCAATTCCAGCCGGTTTTCAGTTCATATTTCTTAATGGAAACCATTTATGGAGCTGTTTGCTCGTAAAATCCTGATGTTATAATGTCCTAACTATATTGGACGCTGATTGCTACGAGATGTGAAAAAAATTAAAATTATTTTCATCCCAATCATTAAACGTTTTCCAGGGTTCTATGTTTAAAAAGAAACTTCTATGAATACTAACGAGAAAACGAGAGTTATTATTCATGTAATTTGTTCCGATTGGCCGTGTTGCAAGGGGAGTCGGCGTTTGATCCTTACTTTCCCATCAACCTTCGGACCATTTTAAACGTGCGCGTAAATTGTAGAACGCCGTAGGTTTGGAAAAACGGTCGGGATTTATAGCGATTTCTTGTTTTGGAATTTTTCGGCAGGCTAACAAGAAAACTCACAAATCAATAAAATAGATCTGAGTATGTCAAGAGCTTGCCCAAGTCGGCTCGGGCTTGACATTTGGTCCAGCTGAACACCGCAGTCACGAAGCGTAGACACCGGCCAAAGGTCGTAAGGTTTATCCTCACATCAGGAAATGATTAACATAAATCCTTTCATCCATGCATCTTTTTTTCCTCTCCTTTCCCGAGTGTAATAATTTCTTTCGCAAGTCTGTTGCAAAGGCAGAATGACCTCCAGAGGGACTCGGATGCAGGAATCGGCGATAGAAGTCGTGTCTATGCTGGAAGCCCTTGGACCTTGGGGACTTGGTAGAACTTGCAAGACGCCCAGGACTTTACGAAGTCTTCCTACAATTCTCCTCATTATTTATAATATTTTTATTCAGACGTCATGATATCGCTCCCTGATTTGTTTAAGACCTTGGTGTGCAAGAATAAACATTATAAAAGGATATCTTATTGCAAGGGCGTGTTTTCGCGTCATGCTGTTTATAACATTTGAAAAAATTATATATATTATTGAAAAACATATATATATTTTTTTTTCATTTAAAATATTTTCCTCGTGTTTTCTATTTCATTAAATATAAACCTTAACACACTATTGCATAGGTTTTTCTTTTATCAGATTTATTCTCTGGGTTCCTTATCTATATACCTTAATTGTTTCTGCTTCTGATTTATCAGAACCACTCTATCTCAGCATCTATATAAAGACTACGCTCTCATTATCTTATTTCTCTTCAGTATCTTATTCACAACTGAATTTCAATTGCTTATTTGTAAGTTATTCGTTTTAGTTGATTATTTATTACAACTGCTTTCTTGCTTTCTCTCTCTCTTTCTCTCTCTCTCTCTCTCTCTCTCTCTCTCTTTTTCTCTCTCTCCCGCTCTCCCTTTCTTTCTCTCTCTCCCGCTCTCTCTTTCTTTCTCTCATTCTCTCTCTCTCTCTCTCTTACTCTCTCTCTCTCTCTTGCTCTCTCTCTCTCTCTCTCTCTCTCCCGCTCTCTCCCTCTCTCTCTTTCTCTCTCTCTCTCTCTCTCTCTCTCCCCCGCTCTCACATTCTTTCTCTTTCTTTCTCTCCCGCTCTCTTTCTCTCTCTCTCTCTTTCGCTCTCTCCCTCTCTTTCTTTCGCTCTTTCTCTCTGATTCTTATTTATTAGAATTTTCAATCATTATAGATTGATCAGAACAACCTTCCAATTTTCTATTAATCAGAACTGTACTCTTACTTTCTTATTTATCACATCTGTCACTCAGTTTCTTTTTTATGTTAATTGAATCTCAGCTTCATATTAATCAGATTTGTTTCTATGCTTTTTATTTAACAAGAAGAACTGGAGAATATTTTAAAAAAAATAGAATTGTCTCCTAGTTTTTTTTATATTTATTTAACTGTTTTCTCAATTTCTTTTTAATTGACAGTTTAATTAACAGTTAATTATACCTCAGTTTCATATTAATCAGATTTGTTTCCATGCTTCTTATTTATCAAAAAGAACTGGAGGATATTTAAAAAAAAATAGAATTGTACCCTAGTTTTTTTATTTTTATTTATTTAACTGTTTTCTCAATTTCTTTTTAATTGACAGTTTAATTAACAATTAATTATACCTCAGTTTCAGTTTAATCAGATTTTTTCCATGTTTCTTATTTATCAGAAATCTCTCCAATCTTTTTAGTTATCAGAATTTTTCTGTCAGTGTTTTTGTAAGATGTTTTCTCTTGGTTTCTTATTTTTCACAACTGTCCTCTAACTTTCTGTTAGATAGCTGTTCAGTACATTATTTATTAGAATTTCTCTCATTTTCTTATTTATCAGATCTGTATTTCAGTTGCTCACTTATCAGTCCAGTTCTTTCAGTATATTCTTTATCAGAACACATTCTCTGTTTCTTATCTATCACATCTAATTTCTCAGTTTATTATTTATTAGAACTGCCCTCTCTCTATCACTCTCTTCCTCCCCCTTCCTCTCTCTTTCCCAGTTTCTTATTTATTAGAATTTTCAATCACTATATTATTGATTAGAACAATCTCTCAATTTTCTATCAGAACTGTACTCTTAAATTCTTATTTATCACATCTGTCACTCATTTCTTTTTTTTATGTTAATCGTATCCTCAGTTTCATATTTATCAGAATTGTTTCCATGCTTCTTATTTATCAAAACTATGCCCCAGTTTTTCATTTATCAGAATTGTCTTCTAGTGTTTTTATTTAACTGTTTTCTCAATTTCTTTTTTTATATTAATTATCCTCAGTTTCATATTAACCAGATTTTTTCTGTGCTTCTTATTTATCAACTCTCTCCATGCTTTTTAGTTATCAGAACTGTTCTGTCAGTATGTTTATAAGATCTTTTCTCTCAGTATCTTATTTTTCACAACTGGTCTCTAACTTTCTGTTAGATAGCTGTTCACTATATTTTTATTAGAACTGCTCTCCCAGTTGTTTATTTATCAGAACTGTTATCTCTGTTTTTTATTTATCAGAGCTGTATTTCAATTGCTCACTTATCAGTCCAGTTCTTTCAGTACATTATTTATCTGTTCTCTCAGTTTTTAATTTATCGCATCTAATTTTTCAGTTTAGTATTTATTAAAAATGTTGTCAACTTATTTATCAGAACTATCTCTCAGTTTTTTATAAGATCTTTTTTCTTGGGTTCTTATTTATTAGAACTGTCCTGATTCTTATTTATATGACTCTCAGTTTTGTTTTAATCAGAATTTTTTCCAAATTTATTATTTTTCAGAATCGTATTACAGTTTGTTTCAGACTTGTTCTCTGTTTCCTATTTATTACAATTGGTTTCTTGTTTCTAATTGACCCGGATAATATTTTAGTATATATTTTTAAGTCTGAATCACACTGTTTCTCATTTATTTGAACTGTTTTTCATTTTCTTGTTTATCAAAACCACTCTCTCAACTTATTTATCATATCCATTTTCAACATTTCTTATTTATCATAACTACTCTCTCAGTTTCTTCTATGTCTCCCAGTTCTTACTTAAAAGAACTAATCTCAATTTCATATAAATCAAATTTGTTTACGAGTTCCTTGTTTATCAGAACTGTACTCTCTTTGTTACAATCTTGTCTGTTTGTTAAGAAAGAGTCAGAAATCCACACTACGCAAATTATTATTTTTTATAACTGATAATTCGGAACAAAATACTGTTATACTAAAAAGTTCTACCTTGCTTACCGGTGAAAAATTTGTACTGTTGAAATTTAGATAAATAAAATGCGATGTAACTATATTGATTAATGTTTTCTACGTTTGTTATTGTCAAAACTATGTGAAGAGCTCTTGAAAAAATAAGTGTAAACAATTTAGGAAATATGACCTAATTTCTAGCAATGACATGAAAGTATATTAAGTAAATATTTAACAATTATTCTCTTTATTTAGCAAATGGTAAAGACAAAACAACATATTTTTCTAAAATTAATGGTATTAATCAAAGTAGGATTCTACCAAAGAAATTATCTTTTTTTAATTTAAAAGTTTAATTCAAGATCTTTAAAAAAAATCTTTAGAACTTGGCATTTGAACAATAATTGGTATAACATACTTTATTTTAGAAGCTTAACTTTTAAATATGTTTGAAGCAAAAACCTTCTAAAAATGTAAGCATCTCATGAAAGATCTGTTGCAGGCGGCATGCAGCAAATTATACAGCATAAACTGCTTCAAGCTCGATATAATCGGGCTGATTGAACGGATGGGTGCTGCACAGTACCAACTGTTTCCCGGAATTTTTCTAAGCTACAATCTCAACACAAGTGAAGTCCCTCAGATGATGCTCCGGTCGTTGGAAACAGGAAACATGAACGAAGAGTTCGACAATTACATATCAGATCGACTAAACCAGTATTTAAACTCGCTTACGTTAAACATTAAAGTCCTCGACCCGTCCACTATGCATCACGCTAGAAAGTTAAGCAATGAGATTTTTTCACGCCTAGTGCCACACGAAACAGGTATAATTAATATACAATGATTGGACTATATTTATTATATTTTTATACAGTGATTAAGGTGTTCTTTTCAGTGATTAAAAACAAACATACAAACATGATTTCTTCCTATTTAACAATATTATTGCAAACTATTCATCATTCTTGTGGAATGTAACAACTTGTTGCACAAACGTTAATAATTTTGTGCCACAGCCAAAAAAGCACTAATTAATTACTTAAATATACAACAACTAAGCTAATAGCAAAATATAGTACACAATATATAAAATCGTTGTGATTGTATAACAATTTAGTCAGTCAAAATTTTCCTGTTTGTAGGTTAATAGTTTTTCATTTTTAGTCTGAAATTTTGAACAATCATTAAGATCACATAAATACATTATTATTTTAAGTATTGCACATAATCCGTTTTATAAAATGACTTATAAACAAAAAAAATCCACTTAATTTTATTAATTAAATAATAAAGTTAAAAAAATAATAAAATCAACAAATCCATTTCTAAATGTATTTATGTAAAATAAACAGAATAGCCAAAAAAAAGTGGACGTAAACAGTTCATTGCCATATTTCATTCCAGGTCGTAGAAAGGGACACAACAACAATGCTATGTGGATGGCAGGAACCGTTGCAGCAGTCAGCGTCTCGGCTCTTGCCGCTATATCAGGGAAAGCCCTCATGACTTCCTTGCTCGCACTGATGCTCACAGGAGCCAAAATGATGCACAAAGGCGGTGGTGGAGGCGGTTACGGATGCAAAAGTGCCGCTCTTATTGATGCCAGGACAATGGAGATAGACAGAATAGCGGCAGCGGCAGAGACGGAATTTAATCAGCATATACCGATTCATGTTTTCACGCCTTCAGCTCACGGACAGCTGACTTCATACAGTGGTCCTCCTAAACACTGAAAAGTATTTTCAATGAGAAAAACTTTATCTGTAAATATTCTAGTTGTGTATATATTTATATTTTTTTATAATTCAGAATAACAATATAATTATTTACAATTTTCTTAACAATTTCAATATTATAAATAATTTACTTACCATATATTCTAAATCAACTGCTAAAAAATTGGTGTTAATCATTGAACCCAATGTGCTAGATTACAAATACAATATTTCAATGTCAGTAATAAAATATTGAACTTCAATAAATAAATTAAACAATTACCATAATCGACTTGGGGAGGCTTTTCTTGGTAATCATCATCACTTCTCATATTTGAGCAAGTTTTTTGACAGGTCCTTTAGGACTTTTTTCACATTTTTCCCACAGTATTTTTCCGCATCTGTAATATAAGTTGAAATTTATCAAATATTATTTTGTGAGATTTCTTCCTGCGGTCTTTTAAACCTGGGATTTGATCCTTGCCAATCATCTTGGTCTGTCAGTGCTTTTCGGCATTTCACCAAATTACATTACCCATGTACAGAAGTGATTTTTTTTTTTTTTTTTTTTTAAAGTAGATTATATTGTAAATTTATAATCTATTTGTTTCTGGACAATTTCATTTGTAAATTTGTCAATCAAATTTTATTAAATCTATTTCTTTATAACTTCATTCAAGTCTGTTATAAATTCATAAGGAAAAAACAAATCATGATTATATATATNTTAATGAAGAAAGTTGTTCAAAATTTTAGAAGTTTCACCAATAAAATATTATTTATTAATTAAATTCACTAATTTCGTGGTCCGCTCAACCATTATAATTAATCAATATAATGCCATTAACTTTTTTATCTCAACTAAAAACCTTAATTAATTATAATTATTTATTAAAATTTATTGCATGTATTTTCTATTAGAATTTGCTGAATTTTTCATGAGTAATAAGTATATTTTTAAAATAAAAAATTAATCGAAATTATAATCCACTTATCTAGTTCTGATACAACTGATCAAATTTGGTGCCTGGAATACCCTGATCGGAATTTTCAACAAATAAAAATTTGCACATCTCTGAAAATTATGTCATAGTAATAAATATTTTTTATGCATGATGAAATCGTTCACATATCAACCCAATGAGGACTGATGATTGATAAGGATCAAGTTATAACTATTATTACAACTGTTATTACCTTTAAGTAAATATCCTGAATCTTTTATTGTCTTTTTTTGAGTAATCCATATGTTAAATATAAAAACCATTAAAGCTGCGTAGAAAGAGTTGAGCGTTGTGATGACCGATTTTCTATTATTGCACTCTCTAAAAAAAAAAAAAAAGGTAAAATATATATTTGTTTTAAAATTAAGGCAAACAATAATTTACCTGTTCAACTTTCCCGAATTGAATATATTCCAGACAATATTAGTCACGTTTAGGCTTAAAACTGCCAAGGGAAACGGCTGAGTGTCTGAATTAGCAACTTTATACAGCCGATGGCCCAAAGGCAACAAATCTTCCGAAGTCAAGTAGAGAAACTGCAACAGGCCGAATAACCCAACGCCTCGAAAATCTGTTGCAGGATCATTCCCCTATAGATACAAAACTAGCGAATTAACGCATTTAAAAGGGCGGGGGGGGAGAAACAGCGTTGAACATTTACCTGAAATCCTATGAGTTGCCAGTGAGAACCTCTCTGAGGGCAATCAATTTTAGCACCAGAAAGCTTTCTGTATAAGGTTTGCATTGCCCTGAATTGTACTTTATCAGACCAGTTCAACCCACCTAACAAAAACTATAATGTAAATATACAAATAACTTATATTAATATTGCCAAAGTTATTTCTATTGGTTAATTAACATAGCATAACTAAATAATAAATTTCCCTTTGTCACGATTAAATTTTTATAAATAAAACACTCTAATTATTTTACACAACATGTACAACATCCTGAATAGTAATAAAATAAATTTTATATATTAAAAATTTATATTGTCTTAAGAACTTTCGAACATACAATATTAAGCTATTTTCAGCTTTTTGAGACATCAGACCTCCAAATGACAAAATAAAATCAGCTTATTAAAATAAATTAACATATGGATATTGAACGAGTAGCTATATTGAGAGAACCGATAGTACGTTATTTTGGCTGCATTTACAAAATTCTAAGTGTTAATATCAATAAATAATTACTGAGCATGAAAGACGTGTGTTATTACCATCCGCGGCCTGAGTGCACGGGTGGCATAACAAATGCAAGTGTTTTCTTCTGTGAGTGTAACTCTTTCCAAGAAGCCATAGACGCATGGGTCCCGCTAGAAGTGAGGCTTGGAGCTTATAGGAGGGAGAAATTAAAAAAAATCCGAGGTAACATTTTTTTACACAATCTGCAGTACTGTATTATCTGCATTATATATTTTACTAAATTTCTAGCTCCGGAACTGAACATTGGAACGTTTAGAGAAGAAAACGGAAAATTAGTTGGGGACAAGGATGCAGATAGGTGGATCCAGTACGATGTCGACCTATGCAGTTATTGGTATGGCTTAATAACTTATAAACTAATTATTCTTCTTGTATCTTTCTGCTGGAAGTAGCTGCATATCGTTTTAATTTTTTTATTTATTCTAATCAGCCCGGGTTTGTGTTTAACTACCAAATGGTACCCAATACCACAAACATAACAAGAATAATTATAAAACTTATTAGGGAGGGTTTTATACTCAACCATTGTTAGATTTTGAGCCATTGTAAAATAAGAAAGAAGTGCTAAATTTAGAGGGATTTGTGGGGAAATGCAATATTCAGCATCAAGTAGATAACATGAATCCAAATAAACTGTAGAGGAAGGTTGGTGGGCACCTCTGAAAACTTATGTACGATGGTTTATGTTCGACCATAGATATCACGGAAGAAAATATATTTTAAACCAGATCAGATCTTCTAAATTCATATCATCATGGAAAATAAGCAATTTACTGAAAAATGACTGGAAATTAAATGAAGAAATTTTATGCCTGTACATAAAACTTACTCTAGGATGGTGCCTTAAGAAATCTTGGCAGTTTTAGCATAACAATCCAGACTGGATTTGCTTAATCCAAATTAACATGGGAAATGTCATGGGTAAAGATTGTAATTTAATACCCACTTACAATTTGTTTTATTGACAAGACGCCTCCAAAGAACTATGGAGGATGGTTTATGATCAATCTACCTTAGAAACCATGGAAGAACCAAAATTTTACACCAGATCTTCTAAATCCAAATTATCATGGAAAATTTCATAGGCAATACTGGACGTTGAATGAGGAATCATTTATACGACAAGATGCATTCAAAAACTTGTGTAGGATGGTTTATGCTCAACCAACCTTAGATATTATGGAAGAATCAACACATTCACATAAAAAATTCAAACCAAATTCTCCTACTCCAAATTATCATGGAAAATTCCATAGGTAATATTAGAAATTTAATGCCTCCACATAAAATTTATCTAGGACAGTACCATTAGATAACATGGTACAGTCAACATTATAATTCAGACTAGATTGACTAAATGCAAATTAATATATGGCAAGGATCCTACAAAATATATGCAGTGGAATTTCATGAACGATACAATGTTCAATTAATTACCAAGTTAAAACTTGTGTTGTCGACAAAATCGTAAAAATGAAATTTTTCCAGGCGATCATACAAGGCGAGCCCACACGGTAAGAGGAGGGCGACAGGATCATGCGGTGAGAGAAGCTTGTTGACTGACATGACACCCTTATCAGAATATCCGGCCAGAAGGCGTGAGGCTGATTGGGGCGACTGGCCCGTAGAAAGAACATACGTTAGTTACGTTCCAGACAAGAAAGGCCTACTGTCCAGCATGATGACAAGGTAAGTCAAAATTTATTGTAAAAACAATAATTTTTTTAATTAAAAAAAAATTTCATTGTGATTTTCTGTAGATATGTCGAGGCCGCGATGGCATTAGGAATATCACCAATGAACCTTAACATGAGAGTAAATATTGTGAACCCGAACGGTCCCGAGTAACAAAATCTACAGGAACAAATGTGTTACTTACTCTGCATTTGCGAATTGAGCAAGATAACTTCTTCGTGAAGTTCTTCATTCAGATGCGGAAATTTGAGCCAACAGACTAATTCTGCCAGTTTTGATTTATCTGATGAAATTTTGGCACATTGCTAAAATAAACAATTAGAATTACTAAATACATAATTTTACAGTAATACAGAAAAATTAGTCTTTGATTTCTACTAGTCATAGCATTATCATATTTATTAATATTACTGTAAAACAATTAAGTTGTCATAGTTTATATAATGTAACTTTATTAACTAAATCATGCATCCAATTTAATAATAAATGAACAAATATTCTCCCAGCAAGAAATGTACAAGAAAAACTCTGGAAAAATGGACCTTAGTGAAAAAACAATAATAGAATTTAAATGAAATAGATTGTAGTGAGATCTGCAAGGTGATGAATGAGCTTGATCAGACTTTATAATCCTGATAATAGAAAAATTTGTCCCTAATGACACAAGGACTATACATAAATCATTCCATCACACCCATGAAAAAATGTAAACTCTGAAAACAAGCCAATTTACATTGTATTGTGTTATAAAATAAATCCTTAGCATTTTTAAATAATTCAATTTTATTCCTATTGTTCTGAAGCAAGTTTTTTTGTCATTATTGTTTACACACTCTAAAAAGAGTAAAGTGTGCTTTTCAACAGTTAGCAAGATCTCATGTTTTCACATGATTTACATACACCACTTACCACATACTTTAAAATGGAGGAAAAAATAGTGCATTTCTGACATTTAATGGCTTTTTTATTACTGCAAAGGGAAAATTTGTGACGTAGGAGAAAACACTCTCCATAACTAATTTGGTCCAGACGCAAGTTCTCTGATCGTCCTTCAATCATTGTCGATGACTAAATTCAACCTTTTTCATCACAGAAACTTAAAATCTCATACAAACATTTCAAAGCAGATGGACATGATTGCTGGAGCAATCTGGGTTGTTGATATGTTGAATGAGAAAAATTTATTGGACTGCATTTCCATCTGCGATTCCCTCTGTTGGAAACGACCTACATTTAAAAGGATTGACAACTGGGGATGAAATGTGGGTACAACAATGTTCAAGAGGAAAAGGCAACTATTCACTGCTAACAATTCAAAAGCCTGACTCCATCTCAGAAGGGAATGTTCATTTGGTTGCTCAAAGGGTGCTTTTTAAGAGCTTTCTCCAAGTAACAATTAATTCTAGTGTGAACACAAAGGTGGAATGATTAAAGCTAACAATTGAACTCAAATGATGACCAATCCTGTTTTCAACCGAGGCAATGCTTATATCTTTAAATGAGGGTATTTCAACTGCAAGGTTACATGAACCCTCGAGGTGCTGATGTTTTTGAAGGAAAAAAACAAAAACATTTGTAAGTATGTTGAGTTCGATGAAGGGCCGCTGGATTTGAACCAAGGACCTTTACCTCACAGTGATGAGCTGTTGTGGCTGACACCCCCATCCCTAACCAATGCTTGTATTTTTACAGATGCTATAGAAATTGTTGACTCATGGCTAGGATGTGCCATTCAACAACAACAACCAATGTATTCACCTAACATTGCACCTTCAGATTTTCAAAATTCTGCAAAATGCTGGTTAAAAAACCATCTTCACTTGAGCACTGTGAAAAGCACATCGAGGAGTTCATCACATAAAAACCTGAGAAGTTTTGGGAGGATGGAATTACAAAATGACATGGAAGATGGCAACAGATGACAATATATTATATACAATACAATATATACAAAATTACCATTTACGTTCTTATTTCAGAACTGACTATCATTGATGGCAGAATGTCTAAGCGCAAAGCATGTATGATAACACTAAACAGACAAAATTGTTAGAACTTAGGCAGACAAACTAAACACTTTAAACTTAAAAAACAAGCCATCTGCATCTATACACAGAACCGGTCAGCACTAACGACAGGACTAAGAATAAACCATGTGGAACTACAAATGAAAGGTGAATGATGATATATAACTAGACCAGCATTAAAAGAAGGATGGGGGGGGGATCAGGCTGCAACATCGATATAAGGAAAATGCCCCGATTCAAATTCATGGCTGCTATACATACCGACATACAAAAAAAAAAATTTTTTTTTTTCAAAAACAACCAGAGGGTTCATATAACCCCGTAGTTGGAATACCCTGAAAGTAATTTCTATAATAGAGGAGAGCTTAATGTCCAATGACCTGTGTCGCAAACAAGGGTTCAAAGCACTTTACAATTCTTTTTTCATATTACAGTAGACTTTTGTTATCCACAGGGGATATGTACCAAGCATCACTGCGGATAATAAACACAGTGCTTAATAGGAAACACCTTAAATTTCAAGCTTTGAAGCATTCTTCTATCTGCATACCAATCAGACACTTTCTGTATTGCATGTACCTATTGTCAATATTATGTATGAATTTATGTTTACATATTTAATTTTTTCCCTGATAAGAAAAATACAATGTATACAATACAACAACATAAAACAATACATACGTATGTACTTGCATCAACAGATGTGAACCTATGCATGACATTGGAATAAATGAGAAAAAGGGCAAAAAAAGCTAAAACTGAACTAGGGAGGCAATTGCAGATGAGTGAAAGCCTGGATAACGAAAATATGAAAACGAGAGTTTATTCTCAATTACAAAGTATTGGCTAAGCCGAGATTTGAATACAGAACCACTAGTGTGGCAGATACAAGTCAGACGCCCTACCACTCAGTCACTAAGTACAATCAATGATAGACACAAATATTTTACAGTACTGCAGTGTGCCGATTAATTGCAGAAAAGTGTAACGTTCATACACCTCTTATTGAAATAAGTAGACTATGGTGGCCTCTCGGCTTGCATAGACCCCGCGGTCGTGGGTTCAATTCCCATCGTCACCCCGGGCCCTTTCTTCACAATATTTTCCCCCATCATCAAACAATCACTTGTCTCCCTTGGCTAATATGCTATGTTCATAAGGCCATAAAAAATAATAACAAATAAAATAGTTGAAATAAGCCTAGCTCACATATGATAACCAATAAATACTGAACATTTTGGCCTACCTATCTTTAATGGTTCTATCTGTTATGGCAAGCCATTTCATAAAGGCCGCCAAAGCGACATAAATAATCAATAAGGCAGAGTTCCAACGAATGAGGAGGCCAACGAGAGGACAACGGCAAGCCTGAGGGAGAGCCTCGCTGGATTAGGAATTACTTGGTTGCTTGCAACTTTAGAAAGAAGATAAAATAAAAATAAAAGTGTGTGACATTATCAAGACAAAAAAACTTCTAGTGAAGAATTCTAGTGGAGTGGTGTTCGTTCATCAAGGTTCGTTACACTATACTATACAACTTGTCCAGTTAAAAGGAAACCAAAAAAATAACTTTACACTTAATTACTTTCTATCATAAGAAAATATTCCCTTTTCCTTACTAAATTAGTTGTAACCATTTATAAGATGTATTCGATTCATTAATTTGTTATTAATATAAGAAGATTTTATGTTTAAAGGGTACAGACTTATTATTTTATTTTATTTTTTATAACCATATTAATCCCACAACGTTATAAATACACGCTCCCACAACGTTATACTGTTAAACAATCATGTTGTAAATAGTGGTTTTTTTTTATAGCTTACCTTTCGCTATAGTCAACTTCTGTTTAGTGCACTCTATACCCTTCCTGCCCCAACCCAACCATACCAGGTCCGGTGCCACGAGGCTGCTTTTGGTGTTACTACATTTATACTTTTATTATAAACAATCTTTTAATGATCTCAAAGTGGGATGTGCATGTGTGGGCTCCACCCACATCCCACCAACGATGTGGGGCTCAACATTGCCCAGAGTGCTTTTAATCCCACAAACCATCCCTGTAGGCAAGTAGTGGTTTTGACATGATAGAAATACCAGGATGATTGGAAACAATATTGATCAAGCTGCAGAATTCAACAATAAATTCACAAATATTCATATTATTTGGTGTTCACACTCAATGAAACTACAAATTAATTTTCAGATAATAAGGACAAGCCTGTCACTTGGATGCATTAAAACATGACTGTTTGATACTTTAGCACAGTCTGAATAGGCAATAAGCACTGAAGCATAAATAATCATCACCTTAGGCAAATCCAGAGATCGGAAGTGTTGCACAGCTTCTTCCACTGTGACTACAGGCGATGCCAGGCTTAAGTTGATGTTGCGTTTGTTGCTAGCACACCTTCCGATGATGTTGGGCACTAGGGTCCATTCCACCTCAGCTTCTTCCCTGCAACAAAGCACAGATCAGTCTATAAGTTTTGAAAAATTATTTTGAATAGATTTACCTAGTCTTGGCATGTCCTCTATCATCGGTGTCACCCTCCTGCAGGTTCTCCCTCAGCATTTTCGTACCGTTTATCACAGATGCCATCACAGATCAAATACTTAAGGATTGCCGAGTGAAAGATGCCTCGTATTATAAATACATGACTAATTTTAGAACTGCCGTCCTGGCATATCGGGGAGAGCAGCGAGGTCGGGACACATCAATTACCCATGGCTGTATTTCTCAACATTTCCTGGCTTTCTCCTGTGATTAATTAGAAATGGATTTTTTTCTACATTTTCAAAACTTGTTGGGCTCCATCTGTCAATGAATTGACAACTGGGGTTGTCGACCGATGGAGCAACGTGAACATCGATTTTTATGATTCAGTCATGTTTCATTTGACGTAGAGACTTTTCGGTGAGTCATTTTAGAAAATGTCGAGACTATTATTAAATCCAAGCTTAATTCAATCACAGTATGTTCCAACTTTTAAAAACCATTCATATTTTTATGATTACTATCGACTGCTAACAGAAACTACATCTCTCTAAGCCATGACCATCACAGGGACATCACAAAGGACTTTACGTCAAAAAAGTTTCTACTTTCAAAACAAAGAAACGTGTTTTCCATCAGGTTATTTGAAGTATTTGATGATGTGGAATGTAGCCAAATAGTTCTATTTTGTTTATCTCTCATTGATTTGTGTATGAAAAATCGTGGCAAAAGAAACAAAAATAAAAAAGAACTATTCCATTAGGATTTTGAGTTCAAGTAGTCTTGGTTCCGAAGAAATCTAAGTACTAGAAAAGAATGATAAAGATGGAAGATGGTATGCTGGCGCACTGATGTATCTAGAGCGCAAGAACATACGGGGGCAGGAGTGTTCAATCCTGGAACCAAATACTCAGACCTTTTGGGAAAATAAACCAATATCTTCCAGGTTGAAGTTCATATTAGAGATATGCACTCAGTTCAATTTGACCAAAGCGTACAACAACAAAATTATAGCTAAAATGTAAGATAGACAAGCAGCCATCAAAGCACTAAGCTCACACATGGTGCTGAATTGCAAAACTAAACAGATTAGGTATGCAAAATAAAGCCACTCTCTGCTGTGTCCCAAGACATGTGGGAGTAGAGGACAATGAGAGATCAGACGCCCTTGCAAGGAAGGGGACTGCTATATAAGGTCTGAGCACTTCTGTGGCATAAAGAGAGTGCCACTATCAACGAGTACCTTAAATAAAAAGACAAAGTGAAAATGAGTAAACAGTGGAATTCACTCACTGGACCCCAACAATCCAAGAACCTTCTAGCAAGAAGTTCTTCTGGAAGAAGAGGCACAACAGAATGCACCAAAGGAAGCAGGAAAAAACTTTGAATCCTAACAGAATTCTTAACAGGACACTGCAGACTAAATGGGCATTGGAAGAAGATTGGTATAATCCAACATGGCGCGTACAGATTCTGCAAAGCAACAGATGAGACACAATCACATTTACTAACACACTGTGGTGCTACATTTGCCTGCAGGAAGAAGTGTTTTGGGATGTACTACCTAGAAGAAACAAATGGAGCTTTTGTCCAATCCACTGTAGTCAGTTGCATGCAGTATAGATAGTCTAACTACTTAAGAACCCAATAATACTGTCAAATCTGGTTTCTTTAGTATTATCAAGATATGAATAAATAGTTCAATACACAAAAAACAATCTCTATGTATAAAAAAATTGTCTGAATATTTGCATTAGTTCTGAATTTTTTTCTTAATGTATGCAGGATGATGAACCTTGATTGGTAGTTTCATCAGTATGATTTGGCACAACTAAAGTACAGATTTGTGTACTATTGATATATAATGATGACTTATAAAAAGCATTTTTGTGTTAATTGCCCCCTAATACTGTTCATTCATTGCTCCTAATCTATTTTGAATTTGCCACTAGTGAAGGCTTATCAATTGAGTTTATGGTGATTAACCTTCATGATAACACGCAATACGTCATATGAAGAAGCTAAAACATCAATACTCAATACAGTTTCAAATGATTGAGCACCTTAATAGGGGTTTTTTAAAACCAAAATATCTTTTAGCAGAAACCCTGGGGTGTACGATGCAGATTTTCATTGGAAACACTGACAAACCACCAACCATCACTGTTTACTCTTATTATATAAATAACCTAATTGAAGGTTGATGAGATACTTAATAGTCCATCATTCCTCTCACACTACAAACTCACACTAATAAATACATTCAGTCTTAATATACACAAAATGGAACACAAAACGAGATATCTATCAGTGCTATATACAATAAAAGAGCCCTGAACAAAATTGGAACAGGGGACCTAAATACCTGCTGCTCATTCTCATATTGGGCAGCATTCCTACATAATCTCTATACAGAGCCAAAGGGTGGCACCCTTTAATTAAGCTGGACACATTGAGCAACCGTCTGCATGCCGGACATGTATGGGCTTCGGCCTAAAAAGTGCCTATGTGTCAACATCATATGTCTTATTTTAATGGAGAGAGGATGACCCTTCTTCTGAGTCAGGTCTTCTGAGGGCCACTTATTGACAGTGCTCTCGATATGCAAGAGCTTCTCTGCCAATCCACCCCATCGACGCCGCCATAGTCTTTTAATAATTTTTTTATTGTATTTTTAGCATCAGGAGGCTAAATTGCATGGTAAGTCTGGAGGTTGGGACGTCCCGGCCTTAGCCACCTCGTCCACATGTTTGTTTTTCCCGTACAGGTACCAACTCAACAACCACTATTTTGAGAAGATGGTATTTCTCCTCGTAAGCTCATGGTATTTCTACAACAAGAGGGTTGATGGAGGACCTGTCATGAACAGCAGTAACTGCACTAAGGGAGTTGAGGCAAAGTAAGCACCATCAACTCAAATCACCTCTATAGACCTCTGTTGTAAATGCTACAGTGTGTTAGGAACAACCCATGAAGTGGATTCACCATTGCACACAGCCCATGCCACACCATCATCAGTCTTAGACCCTTCTGAGAAGGTTGTATTATAATTAATTGGTATTATTAATATTTTTATAATAGTTAATTTTCTTAATACTTTTTACTTATATTTTGTATACTTCTCTCTACACATATGTAATAATAGAAGTCACTATATTTATCCAAAGGGTAACAGAAATGAAGAAAAAAACCGCGAAGAATAACTTTGTAGTGGGCAATAATGAGTGAATTTAGGAATAGAAAGCAAGAAAAGGATACTCTCACTGTAGAAGAAGGAATAGAATTTGCAAATAATCAAAATCGGATAAAAAATTTTATTTTTTTGAGGACGATTGACACGACAAAACCTAAACAGACGGTATGGTCTACTGCACAGACTCATAGGACGACAATCTAAACTATCGACAAAAAACAAACTTACAATTTACAAAACATTACTACAACCGATTTGGACGTACGGGATAGAACTGTGGGGAACCGCTAAACCTTCCAATATCCAACGCCTCCAATCCTTTCAATCTAAAGTCCTCAGATCCATTGTAAATGCTCCTTATTATGTCTCCAATGCTACCCTCCACAACGACCTTCAAATTCCTTATATCCAAAAATTTATTCCCCAAAAATTTACCAACTTTCACAAAAAACTTTCCCACCATCCAAATAGTCTTGCCCAAGCCCTGTCCGATAGAACCCATCCCTACAACCCCATAAGGCGTCTTAAGAGGAAATGGCCCCGCGACCTCCTTTCCGAGTGAACTGAAAAAAAAAAAAACAAAGTGAAGAGGGAGGATAGCACTGACTATTTTCTCCCCTCAATGTAAATAGTTGTACATATATATAGTTGTTCGTGTATCCGCAAATTACATGTTGTAAATAATAATTGCAGATTGTAATAAAATAAAAATTAAAAAAAAAAAAAAAATTTTTTTGAGGAAAGAGGAAAAAAGGTATAGGTTACTATTAATAATACGATTCGTCGGTTTTTAGACATATCTAAAGCAATATTAAATTATATTTCATATTTTTATTTACTTTTAAATTAAGAATATGTATAACTTTTTGGCCTATCTTTAGCTATTGATGCTGGGGTTGGTCTGCGAGTAGGTGAACTCATGCTGAACCGGCATTGGATTACTTAGTGGGTCCGTCTTCACTCGCGAGTTTGTTGAACTGAGGACGGCACAGTGCTGAAACGCGTTTGAGCGCGAGTGAAGACGGTTCAATAAGTGAACCAATGGAGGTTGAGCATATCTTTAGATATGCTAATTTTTTCGTGAATTATTTAAAAACGCTAAGAGCAGAATTACGGGGTATTTGAACGATTTCTGCCGACTTTTTCCGAGTTCAGCGTGCATAATTAATTAAATTCAACGAGTCCAAACAGATGCAAGGTCTGCTTTCATCAGAAGAGGTCAATTAGACCGAGTGGACAAATTGCACCCGGCAATGCATTCGCGGTACGATTAAGATAATACACGGTGAGGAAGAACAAGAGGAAAATTGGGCCCAGACAAAGGGTTGACAGGTCAAATGAAACGGTGATAATATGTACGTGGTTTATTGTCAGAATCACCATAATCAAGGTTAATGCCGGTCTGGCCGGCCCCATCACCACGCGGAATCAGACCGCACTCACTTTTACCACTGGGTATAAATTTTACCCGGTTTTTTCTTCTTCTTCCGGTGCCCAGATGACTGAACATTATCCTGGTTATAACTGCTTAAATAGTAGGGCCTGAGCTAATTGCATAATTACAATTAGAAAACGATACTGGCTAAATAATAAGACTTTTCTTGCATTATTACTGCTAATATATTTCAGAAAACTACGATTTTATTATCCATGTACCATCCATGTTCCATCAAAATAAATAAATAATTTTTAACCATTTTTATTTACACTTTCGCTTTTGTTAGGTTTTCCGAGGTAATTTTTAATTTATTGGTAGATTAGTATAAAACTAAAATTTCTTCCAATGAAAGATCCATGATAGGTGTAATTGAAAAAATTACAATTAAATTTTTGAAATGGTCCTTGTCTAAAGTTTAAAATACAAAAGTTATTTGAAGATGAAAAATATAGTAATAAATGCAATAACGATTGTAATAAAATGCAGTGAAAATTTGTCACACTGAGCTTATCTAAACATTCATGTAAATCCATATTAGTAGGCACAGCCGGTAGGATTGATCTTCTTTTATCATAAATTGCTCTTCTACAGCTCACTATATCTGAGGTCGTTAGCAAGTTCAATTTTGAGGAATTAATCATCTCTAAGTACAGTTTTCCCGGTCGATCGTTGATATCGTCCAAAGCCTTTTCCAAGCCCAATTCTAATTTCCATTCGCTTACCTTCACCACTTAAATTTTTGAGAAAACTAAATCTTCTTCCCACTAACAGCACGTGGCCGCG